AGGCCTACCGTCCACACTAATCCGTCACGAAAACGCAGCTTTATTTCTCCGGTCAGGCCTACCGTCCACACTAATCCGGCACGAAAACGCAGCTTTATTTTTCCGGTCAGGCCTACCGTCCACACTAATCCGTCACGAATACGCAGCTTTATTTCTCCGGTCAGGCCTACTGTCCACACTAATCCGGCACGAAAACGGAGGTTTTCGAAAACGCTGTTCAAACCGGAAGAATTTGAAAACGCCAGCAAGCGTTTTCGTGTGGACGGAAAGCATTTTGAAAACGGAGCTTTTCGAAAGGATGGCGTCACGATAATCATGTGATTTCTCTGTCCGAGTTTTCCTCAAACGCAAACCTAAAATGACCGCTGATTGTTGCGTTTTCAAACTCCCCGGCGTAGTGTGGACGGAAAACATTTGATACGTTTTCAGAGTGAAACCTCCGTTTTCAGCTTCATCCGGCGTATTGTGGACGGGGCTTCAGAGTTTGCGCTGTGGATTATTTTTTTGAACCTTGTCGTGTTGTGTTTTGCAGGTTCGGTCGTCAGTCCTCGAGAATGTTCCGCTCCAATCCAGGAAGACAACAGTCTGCGACTGCAGTTCACTTGGAGGTCAGTTACAAGCCGCTGCAGTTTTTGGACAGCTCTTTTTAGTATATTCTATATCGCTGTTAGGTTGTACATGTCGTACAAGAGCGTAAAAGCGTGCGCGACAACGTCCAAAGGTACCGCAAACTGTCGCTTACAAGCCCTGAGGCCAAACAACTTCATAACGGGTTTTGAATGGACTTATAAACGGAGGAGGTTATATCATCTCCATAGAAGTATTACACAGTGAGTACGCCGTAAATCTGCAAATTAGACTTCAAACAAGGGCTTGTGCGTTAAATACACGCGTGGAACGTTTGTCTGTACCGTGCGATCAACCTCTTCAGATCACACTAAAACGTTTGTTTTAGAATGGTATCGTGGTCGCAGTTGTTACTGTGGAACTCCTCTTTCAGGCGTCTAAATAGTCTGAGAGTAGCGCGAAGAATCTTGTGTAAGCAAGTCATTCCAGTTAATCTTCTTTCTTTCCTTAGAACCAGTTGTCGTCATGCGTCGCATTGGGGTCTGGTAAAGAGTACTACTTCTGGCTGACAACGTACGTACGGTATCTTTCTCAAGCAGGTTAGTGGTGACTGTTTTTATTTTACAAATTACTGTCATATCCTTTTTCTGTTCTTCAAAATCGTCCCATCTTTGGAGTCTATTCATTCCTTCTTAGGTGCATTTGACTTGTCGGACTGGTCCTGTCAATGACTCTTCTTGTCTTCCTGCTCGTTCAACATCGTAAGCTTTCAAGACTTTTTCTGTTCAGTGATGTGTACTTTTTTCCATTCAGGCTTTGAATCACGGTTAAGGGAAGTCTGTGAGGAGCTGCTTGGACCACCCCACAGGTAAAGTTGAATCCGTCGGAATCTCACAGGGACATAAAGAAACATATAACTTATTTTTGTTACAACGGTTCCAAGCTTTAGAAGAGTGGTTTTCCTACTCTTGGCAGCGGTTATCTGTTTCCCGCGCTGACTCACTAGGACGCGTTTCCCCGCGCTATGCGTCAGCTACGTGTATTTGCTCTTAAGTTTTGATTGGTTCACTGGATTGTCTATCTCTGTGATTGGTTAGAGCGATTACTTTGGTTTTGGTTTCACGACACTCGATTCGAGAGCAAGTTCGTGTGTGTTTTCCGCCAGTTCGACTAATTCTTCCCTTTTTTTTGGTGGAGACAGATATTCCTCGAGCCTGCCGGTATTTCAGCTCTGGAACCATCCAGGTTTTAAAAATTTACTTCCTTTTCCGCCAAACCAGCCATAGCCTTCCATAACTTTCTTGTATTTTCGCGACAACTTTCGCCGCATTAGCCTCGCATTCATGCGAAAGGGCCCACTCGTCCCAGGGCCATCTAGGAATACGAATATCGTCTATTGCCTGATTACTCTCGACAGTCAATTGAAACGCGCTCTATAAGTTACTGAAACGGTATGTTAAAAGACAGAGGGAGGTTGCCTTGAGCATTTCATTTGTGTGTCCTTAATGCGCTTTTCTTTTATTGTAGATCGGTAGGACCTCAGGATAAGAGCTCTAGTTGGAACCCATCTATACTGGTAATGGCAACGACAACAATCCTACCAAAACTACGAATTACCTTAATATAGGAAATTAATGCTGAATTTAGGTCGCATTAACTGTTAATTAAATGAAGCGTTAATTTCAATTAGCGTCTTAATTATCGCGACAGTATTTTCCTTTATATTTTAATCTCTTGTGTCCTTCTAAATAGCTATTTTAAGTGGAATTCATTTCTATTTACAGGGATACCAGAAGAGAAACCTTTTACGCGAACTGTTACCTCATATTGGTAAGTCTTGACAGTTTTTCCGCGTAACGGTTCGTCATGAATTTCCGTCGCTGCCGGGTAGTCCTAAGTGGTAGCATCCGTCTTGAAATGCATCTAATTAGTTACGGTTTAGCGTGATAGCGCGCTCTCGTGTTTAAGTTTCGCGCCTGCTCTCGTCTGCGTTTCGCATTGGCTTTCGTGCGAACGAGCGAGCCGGAAACAAAAGAGCCTATTTGTAGTCTAGTAACGGCTAGCGAGCGATTTCTTATAACTTGTCCTTTTTTTGACTTTCAGGGACAAATATTCGTTTACAGAGACTCTTCACGGAATTCAGAGAACAGCTAGACGCGCTCAACGTGCGGTAAAGTACTGATGTGTATTGTAAAATGAACTTTTTGAGGCCTACCTTACACTACAGTTGAATAGATAGCGTGGCGTATAACGAATGTCACGCACCACGTGGCTCACATCACGCGTCACGGAAGCCAGATGTCTGGAGGTCGATCACGTAGTTTCTCCCGCGACGTTGGTGACGTGTATCCGCTGATAAACAGCGTTGTGTACGTTTGGCTCACAAACAGGCGACAGAAAAAAAACATTCCTTAGGACAGACTTGGTTATTTGTCTTGCGGTTCCTTCGTTTGTCTCCTCTTTACGCTTGGACAAGGACTTGATAACTTTCCGTGCGCTGTTGAGGCGTGGTAATAGGGAGTTTACGAAACCACGACGGCGACGCCGAGGGCAACGTGGAATAAGAAATGAATTTATATTTTACCTGCGAATCTCGCGATACTCTAAAGTCATTTACTTTGTTTATCACTGTCAAAACTATCACGAAACTGAATCCTGAACACAGCGATAAATTTGAAATAAAAGTTTGAAAAATTAGCCGTCGGGGTTCACGTTCTCCAAACAACGCAAAATTTGGTCATTTCACGTTGTTGTCGTGCAGAGGACGGCAAAGAAATGTACCAAGAATTATAACGCACGTTCACAGCCATTGTACTGCTCATTAATTATTTTGTACAGTGACGTTCCCGTTGCTGTTGTCGTCACTATCACAGATATCACTATCTTTGATGCCACTGGCTTCTGGTTTGTTAGTTATTGCAAGCATATCTCTTCCTTGGTTTAAGAGTAGCCTGCTCATTACAAATATCTAATGTAGTATGCTGTATGGATATTCTAAAATATGGATTTTTGTGAGCTATTACAGGCGTGAAACTACTTGTATAGAAGCTTTTCAACAAAGTTGGAAGGGATTTTAAACCGGCAAGCTTATGTCAGCTTGGAGCTGACCGGTACTAAAACGTATACAAAGTTCTGAAAAACGTTAAATGTCATTAAAAACTGTTTTAAAACTGCTGTTCTCAATTTTCACGCTGGGTTTGTCGAGATCGGTTTCTCGTTACAGTAGCAATCTTCACACATTCTTAGATTCAAAATCAGTCTTAAGGAACATTACGGAAACATTCTTTGAAATGTTGGAAGTGAACGTTGTGGAACTTTTTACGATATGTTTTGGAGCTATTAACTTAGGTGGCAGAATGAAGTATTTGAGAGTTCTATAAATGAGTGAAAGAGCTTCTCTGTAACTGGACTTTGATGAATGGATAACCGTAGGCGTGTCTAGAGGGGAGGGGGAGGGTGAGGGGGGGGGGGAGGGGAGGGGAAGCGGGATGTATTATATGTAGCCAAAATAATCTATTTTTACACAAGACTGATTTGTCCGGCTACAACCAGTAGAGTAGGTTGGTAAAGGTGGGTAGGTTAGAATATTAGCTGGAATGCCGCTTCTTGTGCAAAGGAAAACAAGTGTGGTTAAATTAAAGCTTGTGAATAGTGCATTTTCAACATGTGCTAAGTTTGTGGTGTATGAGTTAGGAGTATTCGACTCCGTGTAGCTACAGTTGGTCTCGAAGCTTTATTGTTTCAAAAAATGTTTTTTACTTTAGTCAGTCTTCCTTGGCGTGTTTTCCCCATTTATTAGTTTTCCTTTCAGAAACAGTTCAGCGCTTTTGATTCAGTTTCTACGGCTCAATTGTTTCTACTTTTGTCGAACGAAATTTGTTATGCAGAAAAACGCCTGGTGACTTGCGTAACCAATGTGATAAAATCGTGTTGCGTGCGTGAAACAAGTTTTGAGATCGCAGATAACGTTGAAAGAGACAAATTGCCCAAATTTTAGCGCTGAGGTGTTTTTTCTATCTATGTTATTACAAAAAGAATATTTAGAAAATTCCGGCACTTGATATACATAAGCCATTTTGGTACATTACTTTGATACATTGAAATGACGGCGATAACTTGGACACGACGTAAAACTGATTATGGAGGCTTTGGCTGCGGAGCTCTTAAGAGACCCCATTTAAATCACTTTGAAATTAACGACACAAAAATATTGTTTTTCGTGATATCGGAGAAACTACTGATACTGTCGACCCTCGTCGCATTTTTAAAAATGTTTTGTCTACAAAACAAAGTGCTCGACTCCAATATGGCGGCCATCTTAGTTTGAATAGCAATGCGAATGGAAGCGGGAGATTGCGGTTTTGCTCTCATTCTCTTGAGAAGAACTGTTTAGAGCGTGTGGGTTTTGATAACGATAAACCGCAATGACGTTTGCGCTGTTCAATTTTCCCCTTTTTTTTTCTGCGCGCATTATGACATTTTTCTTCACATGGGAACGTAGGCAATTGGTGTGAGTTAATGACTGTTATCCATCTGTACTCTCCTTCATGGAAGATTTTTTCAGAGCTTTTGCTGTCTATTTTTTCGTGCGATTAAGTTTGCCTTCTATTCTTATTTCTCGATCTTCTTGTTTTACACCAAGCAATCGCCAAGTGTCTCAAAACAACAACAACAACAAAAAAAAAAAAATGGGAAATTGATGGTATAATATATTCGAAATTCTTTAAAAGTATCATAATTTCAAGGTGTTTTTCCAATTTTGTTATGCTATAAAACTCTTAGTGATCAAATTTTATTTTTACTACAACATGATCTTCGTTGTATTGAAGGCAGTGGATGTGGTAGTCTGGTACATAAGGTGTGATAATTCTCATTACTTTCTCGGGCAGCTACAGCTATTAGCGAGAATTTCCGATGGATTTTTACACAAATCGGCTTTTACATCTAGTAGCTGGAGAAAGTTTTTGTTTTGTGATAGTAAACCTTTCATATGGTATTGAAAAAAAGAGGAATTAAATTGGAATACGTAGCGATTATTCAGGTTAATTTTGTAGATCTTTAGGAAGAGTGAGCTATTGGTAGAAGTGCTTTCTGATTACAAGCGCTAAGCTTTGATCATTTCATAAATACTTTTATTCAGTCTTCAGATAGCTTAGTGCTTTGAATGTTAGAAACAGTGAAAGTAACTCTTTAATGCCCGTGGAATTAGTTGGCTCAATTTACGCTCAAATCGTTTCGCGAGTTAATGCAAAATCTATTAACACTAGTTTCAGTTTCTTTTTTTCTTTTTGCGTAGCTAATGAAAGTTATTTACCTTTCGGTGCCGCCAAAGCGAAAATAACCAGCGTGTCGAAAAGGTTATTCATTGGTAATTTTAACAACCCAATGGTTAAATTGGATACATTGTAAATTCTTCGTGGGAAATAATGCAACTATTCATGAATCTCCGAATCAACAAAACATTTGTAAACATTAGAGGCGTGTGTCTCACTATCATTAGTTAACTTTGTATGTTTCTGTATGCCAATAAATTCAGGGCTGGAATTTCTTTTTTAGCGTCAAATGATGCCTACGATCGATTTTGTGGTCACAAAAAGTGTCGAGCGACATGATGCTCGGCAAGTCTTGTCAATAATTTTCTTGTTTTATTTTCGCTTATAACAACGATTTTTTTTTTCACCCTTATACATATGATAAATTTGCATGTAGTAATATCAAAATCTATCGACTCTTAACAAGCATGTTTTAACGCAGTAGTTAATGCCCTGGTTATGAGACTTGTGATTCCAGAGGAAAGCTTAAGTGTTACATGCCTTATGAAGACAGCGATTCGGATTGCATTCATGAAGTTCATGCCATTTTTTTTTCACAAACTATTTGGCGATATGGAAATTCGCAGTTTGTTGGCAGCTGTTGTTATGTTTAGTTATCACATTGCCCCGAAGGCATAAGATAAGCGATTTAGTGCTCTTGTAATAAATAAATGTTAGTTCGTTGTTTCAAACTGTGCACCCTATTTTCAATTCCGAAGGGGCAAAACAAAAACGGTTCTACGATTTCAAAATAAAAATAGTCTGCAACAAGACTTCCTAACAACAGAGTTTTTTCATTTCCATATTTATTTAGTTTCGTTTAGTGATAGTATTGGCCATTATAGACACGAAAGATAGATTTTCGAATTCTTTTCTCCTTGCTGAATCGCGAGGTTGTTTTATTTTTTGGTTAACGAACGTTAATAGGAGCGATTTGCAATCTGAAGGGAAACGTAGACAAAGCATTCTTATCTCGAGTCTCCAGCGATAGGACTTTTGTGATCATGGTTTTTGATTACGATTGTTTGTTCAAAGGTTTTTGCCATCATTAAACTTTAATATGTGCACCAGAATTTACAGCTTAAAAGTTGGTTCTTATTGAAGTTGGGAGTTCAAGCTACAGGATATTTACCTTGCAAAGTAATTTCGATTAAAAAATGTCTTCCAAATTAGCTGAAAAGCGTCGAATTGAGATAATTGTAATGAAAAAAACCCATCTGGTGCTCGCTTTCTCGAAGTAATTTATGGCTGTTTGCGGAGGTGTATAGCTAGTATACATTTAGTGTTTGCCAATTGAAATCTTTCGCGGAGAATTTCCCTTTCGGTTCGGTTTTGATCTCCACAGTGCGTCGTGATGTTTATGTGGAAAAAGGCAATTTTCTTTAAGGATGTAATGATACAGCCAGCACTTGGGTAAAAGGTTAAGCAATTTTACGTTATAATGTACTCCGTAATTCTTTAACACCGCCCACTCTCAATCTATAACTCCATTATTTTTTCGATATTAACACTTGCTTCAGTTTCGCTCGGCTCATCATAGGAGCAAAAAAAACTAATTAGTAACCTTTCGATTCCGTATTACCATTAAAATCTACATACACCTAAGGACTTTCTGCGCGACGTTTTCGGTATTATATTGCTCGAGGCTCGAGTTATGTGTTTTAGAAAGTGTTTTCAGTTTTGAAACAAAAAAAAGGACGAATTTGCTATTTCCGGGTCATCTTGAGCGTCGCAGGTGCATTAGTTGTTCTACAACAATAAAGAATTCCATTTCTTCGGCCGCTTTGGCAATGTGCAAACACAACTTGTACACGAGAAAGAAAAAAATTTGCATGATAATAGATTATCTGGAGCAAATGGGGCTAGCGTTCCAAACAATACGTTTTTCTCGTTTAAGTAATATTCTGGTTTTCGCCCTCTTAGATTCTTCGTGTTTTTGTGGATGGTTTGTTTTTATGGAAGTGCTGTAAATTGTATTGCGGTGGTGACTCCGAATGAAGTTCTTAATGCGCTTAATGACGAGTTATTCTAAGACTGTTTTGACTTTCGATTAAAGTGTTTTAGTTTTTATACGTGTAAAACATTATCATATTTTTATGTTTTATACTTATATTTTTATCATATATTTTTTTGGTGAGCCCGGAATCTTTCTCCAAGACAGAACAATGCTTGGGAAACACGTTACAATACTTCTTGGATGAGAACGGTTTAAAGTTTAGAACTTCAACGAACGACGGTTTTTATTTGAAATTGTCAGACAAGTTGTGATTGCCTGTGTTCTCTTGTAAAAAATCTAAGTGTTGTTGAAATTCTGTCGCAGTGAACAATAGCTCATGTTAATTTAGTTTGCGTGGGAGGGAAAGACACGTCACTCAAGCGACAAGCGCGCGCATTACCAATAAGCGAATATACAAATGGAATGAAGCTCTGTAGAAGCCATAAAACAGCCATCACCAAGCACTTCACTATATCGCTATTTCAAACAAGATGCTGACACGAATGCGCGTTTCTTGAGAGCAGGCGAAGCATCTGAAATCTTCTCGCTGAAGACTGATGGCAGAGAAATTTACTCTCGGTTGGCAGCGGAACTCCATGGCGCCAAGAAACGATGAGTAAAAAACTGTCAGACTGTCAGCAAAAAAGAGGAATTATCCAACCGGTCTTTGGCTGTGTTTTTCAGCCGGATAAACGAGGGATTGCTTAAATAAGTGGCCTTTAGAGAAGATGTCAAAGACCGGCAATCAAATCACATGGAAAGACCAGCTTATAGGCGCGATTGTGGTCATCTTATTTGTTATAACTCTAGTCTTAAACTTCTTGGCACTTCATTATACCTATGTCAAAGTTCGCAAGCCTTCGCTGAAGAAAATCCCGCATCTTTTGGTGGGCGCTCTGTCTTTGGCAGGGCTTGGAATTGCCTGTTTTCAGTATATACCATTCATCTCGTCTCGGTTCGCGGGTGAGTGGTCGCGCGACATTGGCGCGTGTCACTTCGTCGCGTTCGGCGTTCTGTTTTTCGGCACGTTAACCATCTCTCTGGTGGTAATGATGAGCTTAGAGCGACTTGGCGCAATCGTCTTTCCTTTCTACTACAAGGAGAGCGTCACTTTTCACAAGTGTGTGGTGTTGCTAGTCGTCTTGGTTCTGTACTCCTTTTTACTCGCCATTTTACCGACGGCGCTCAACAGAGTCGAGCTGAACGTCTCCACCGGCGTGTGCAGCTACGCGGTCGAGTCTCACAACACGGATACCAAGGCGGTGGTGTATGTGATGTCGACGCATTACGTGCTGTCAGTGCTAGTAATGGTGCTATCTAACATCACCGTGGTCTACACGCTGCATGTCTTGGAGAAAAAATCTCTCTCCGATGTTTATGATCAAGATAGCAGACCCGAGAAAGGGACACGCGCGAAAAGCTCTGGTACCTCTGCCTGCGTGAGTTTCGCCAAGATGGTGGCGCTGATGGCCGTTTGCTATTCAATTTGTTGGACTACAATATTGGTAAGTGCTGACTATCTTTTAATTATCAGTGTATAGGCGAGTACGTCCGTTGACCGGCGAATTTATGCGTAATTTGGTATTATTTTTTCGCGCGCCCGACCTCTGGATATCTTTGCTTTGTTTGTTTGCTAATGTTATTATAGATTCCATCTTGTTAATGTTATTGTAACTTTTCCGCGCGTGTACAAGTTTGGTTAGACTGTTTTCACCAACATGTTTCTTTCATTAACTTAGTGCCGGCTGTACAGACTTGATCAGTTTGGTTTTTGTCGGTTCAAGCTGCTTCGCTTTAAGTGACCGGAAATCCAAGCTCGGAAATCAGGAAAAAATAAACCTCTCTAGCCCGAAATTTCACCGAGTCCCTCGTGTTGTTGTCGTGGTTTGTTTAGGTAATGTGTGGCATTAAGCTGGTTTATCGACCCAAGGAACAGAAAAACGCAAAAAAAAGTCGCTTAGAAATGAATACATCGGGGCGTATTGTTTAGAATATACTAATCAGTATAAGAGACGAAGGGTAAGCTTTGAATTGATGTAGACATCAAAAACCTGCAATAAAAAGCATCACAACACTCAGGGTAAACCCGCGTTGGCCGAAAGAAGAGTTGTAAATATCTCTCGATTTGAATTTTCAGTCGTCTTCGCTAAACACTTCGTAAGCTATTAAACTAAAAGCGCGTCATTGTGTTTTTCTTCTTTAGACGCAGAGGCTAGTGGTAATTAAATCGAACTTTTTTCAGATCAGTGAAAATTAATATTTTCCAATGAAAATTATTATTTTCTGTCGGTCGTCTCGAAATTTCTCGGGAACAGCTGTAGCTTGTGGTAGAAATATGAACAGGGATCGGACCAGTCGTGAAACAAAAGCAAGCGCAGAGAATGAATGAATTTGTTTCCTCTGAAACCAATCCGTGAGGCAAACCAAGATAAAACAAAAATTGCATAATGATGTCCCCGAGGACTTGCTTATCTCGAGCTAAGTGATCGACCATCGCATCAACCCGATTCAGCGTGCGTCAGTGTGTAATAGAAGCGAATTGAAGTCTGATTACAACGCTCTCAGCCGAACAGCGGCATCTTTCCATTATTCGGCGCAGAAATATCGGAATTATATTTCCTTATTACGGTTAATTTTTGTCACCTTTCACCACTTACAGAATTTATGCCAACGAGAATTGATAAAAGAGCGGAGTCCACATGCACTTTGTCGTGCGGTTGGCTATATTACTTCCTCAAAAAAAAAAAAAAAAAAAAAAA